GAGAGAGAGAGAGAGAGAGAGAGAGAGAGAGAGAGAATAATGGAAGTTTTTGTGTCCTCTTGCGACAGATTGACAAAAAGCAGCAATAATAACATAGATCCTACTGACAACCTAAATTTAAAAAACCCCAAAAATAACAACCCTAAAACAACAAAAACCGAAAAACAACCCCTGACAACAAAAACAACAACAATAAATAAACAAACAAACAAACAAACAAAAACAAAAAACAAAAACCCATCACCAACAAACATAATAAAGACTCTATCTACAACACTTGGACAGAAAGTTGACGTAATATCTTCCTAATCAAAACCATCTGCAACAACACATACTATAAGACAACGATAGTTGTCCAGCCTCCATTAAGTGCAACAAACATAATGTTCTGTGATGTTTCCCTTGATATAAAGTTTGAACATCAGGTAAATTCAACAACTTTCAAATGGTTCGCTTAGTTAAGATGCCCATTGTGAACGTAGAAACGAAAGCGCCCTTCCCAAAACTCAAAACAACATTGGGGGAATCTTATAGCCCTAGACGGCGCCTCCGAAAGTATTTTGAATGGAACTTAAAACCGAGAAACGCACAGTCACATAAAACATCTAACTCCACCCTCTTTATTGATGGCTTTAGCAAGGAATAAACGGGCATATTTTGAGAGCTAGAGCTAGGAGGGGACTTGTTTCATTTTATTTTGATTTCTTCAGTGTTCAGACAGACCGCACACGCGAGTTTAAGGCGGTGCACAATGTGTGGGGCAAAAGAAAATAAAGGACGATGGAAAAAACGGCAAAACAAGAGTTTTTATTAAACTGCAAGCAGATCTGGAAGATGCAGCTGGTGCATTTTCCGTTCTGCTCGCTGCAGAAAGCTTGAAAGACTTATATTGTAAGAAAACGTGTGCTGGAAGCCAATTTGGACATCACCCAGAAAAAGAAAGAACAGGAAAAAAAACAACTAAGAAAGAGGAAAGAGTTTCATCACCAGCTGGACACGCCATAGGTGAATTAACTATTTAAGGGACAACCGAATTAGGCATGAAACCCCCCCCACTGTATTAGTGCTCTGTACAATTTCACTACCCTATGCAGAGTTCTGTCTACTCAATACCTAAGTTTGAGAAACGTGACGTCAAAAATTTAGTTTCTCAACATGTAAAACTTTTTCGGATGCAATTCTTTGAATATCTTGATTACGACTACGAATAATTTTACGATTTTGATAGAGCTGATAGAACATTTAATTTGATTTCTGACCTCATAGTCTTAGTAACTCAAAACGGACAAAAATATCAGACAGAACTTGGTAATTCTAAGTTAGCCAACTGCTAACTGGTGGATTAAACAAGCGATATTGAGCAATATTTAATTAGGGAAAATACACCAACGTCATAACTATAGACATCCCTAAGAGAGGTGCCAAATGTTACTACTTTGTTGCTGCCTCATGGCAGTTTTGATATTTTTTGCTTTCATGCTAGACATGTAAATTTGGCCTTTCAGAAGTGAACGTTCTCGAATTTCCTGTTGCTGAGTAACAGATTCTGTAAGAAATTGTTCAAATATTAGGGAACATTGTTTAGTTAAATATTAGTGTTACAGTTTTTGTGTTGGTATTTTTCATTTTTCTCTTTTGTTTTCTATGTTACTTTCTTGCCTTTCATTCATTTTTGCAGAGCAGCATAGTGTGGAAGTGGCACAGATCAAACTTGATAAACTACGTCTGTGAGAGTTGAACACAGGGAATACAAAAATTTAGAGACCCCAGGGGGAATAAAAGAAGCTGAAATGAAGTAAAAGTGGTACTAGGTAATAGTTATACTACTTGAAACGAGTTTTCCAACTGTACCGAACTCGATTTTTCCAAAATAAAGGGAACGTAATATCGTTGAGAAGTAAAGTTAATCGATTTTACGTAACAGTTTCTCATACTTGATGAGGTACATTATGTAGTGTGAATCCATTTGCAGATAATTTCAAAACATTTTTTATCGAAACAGTAGGTGCTTGGGACTTTGAGAAAAAAATGGAGCTTCGAGTCAGAATGACTTTCAAAGCAGTTCAGTACAATGTAACTAAACTATCAGTGAGACCATGTCAGTGTGTCATATGTAGCTGATCCTTTAACAACAACTAGAGAGGAAAAACAACGCCGCTCATGAAATAGATAGTAATGTCCCTACTCTGGGGCGCAGCGGTCGCAAAGACAAGAGTCTATTGTCGGACAATTACTGTCGTCAGAGTGGCAATTCATATCGTGCGGTTTTGCGTCATCAGTGACTTGAGACCGATAAACTTTTGATAATATTTTTAACACGGTCACGTCATCTCGGATACATGCAAATTATAATAAGTGTTTCAAACCAGCGTGAACAGTACTTGAGGGGCGGAACTTTTCACTTCAGACGGTCGAGATACCCATGTTTTTTGTGTCTGCTTTCAGGAGCCATTTGGGCTTTTTAAAGGCGACCTCTTAATTTCAAGACAAGATTTGAGTCTTTTTTTTTGTCGGTTTGTTTGATATCATCTCGAAACTATGTCTATATGGAAGTTTTCCAAAACGGTTATCAATTGTATTTGGATACCTTCAAGCTGAGGATTGGAGATGCTTTGATTCATCTTTACTTGTGTGTTTATATTGGTGTTCGCATTCGTGAGTGTGTACACATACCGCAAACGTCTTTCATAGGAGTGTCCTTTTGTGCATTACAACATGTATACATACCCTCCCCCCCTCTCTCTCTCCCTCTCTTTATCCCCCCCCCTCTCTCTCTCTCTCTCTCTCTCTCTCTGACTCGCTCTCTCTCACAGACTTAAAGCAAGTATGAAGGGAGAAAGAGGAGGTAGGGGGAGACAAGGAGAGAGCGAGAGAGAGAGAGAGAGAGAGAGAGAGAGAGAGAGAAGAGAGAGAGAGAGGCATACAGAAAGACAGACAGGCAGGCAGAAAGATAGACAGATACAGACAGATAAACTGTCAGATAGACGAATATTGATGTCTAGAGTGAGTGGGTGGGCGGGTGTCG